CACTATTCGAATTCCTCACACTGGTTTATAACCATCATTTACTTCTAGTTATTAGATGGACACTCTCAAGATCACTTCAGCATCGATCGATGGTTGTCACCTATAATAGATTCTATTTAGTGAATATCAACTGTCACTATTTTTATAAATAATATATCTTTTTGTTGTTGAGACAATATACTATTTTATTTTTTATAAAGTAGTTTATGAATAAATTCACTTGATGTTATTTACTAGTATCTTTCTAACACCAAATGAACTTAAAACTTCACCCCATTTCACAAGTAGGTGGCTATTACGACACAGTAACTAAGTGAATAACGCAATGATGTTTGTGAAGTGAACGATATTCAGTTCAAGTCTCAGAGTGAATATCAACTTTAAGATATAAGTACATCCAATTGATAAGTTCCTAAATAGAACGAAATAAACATCAAACTGGATTCCACTTCTTGCTACTATCCATCTTTGTTTAATATATGAATATTGTTCACTTGGTCTCTTGGATACCAATACATCATAATAATGTTTCTAATTTTATTCTACCCATTAATTTATATCTATGTATAGAGTTCTTTTGATTTATGTATATACATATATATAAGTTAATTGAAGTATAAAGGACATTGAAATTTATCATCTATAACCAAATCAGTAATAGAAATAGCGAACAAAGCTATTTTTATATCATTCTTAATGTTCAATTACATATCATTACATGATTACATAGTAACAATAATGTAATGCGTAACATAAACATCTGTATGTACTAGAATTGTACATGGTGTTGTAAATCAGGCTAATCATAAAAACACACGCAAAAAAAAGCCTAATGTGTATCTTATCATTTTATTTGTTTTTAAAGAGAGGGAGGAAGGAGGAGGGAAGGAGGGGAAAAAAAACTTGATTGTCTAAGAAATAAAAATTATCTGAATATTGTGTACTTGAATGATGTAATTCATATATTCACTCTTTAGATAGAAGCTTGTAATGATGATGATGATGTTCAGTAGAATGATCAAATCATCTAGCTCAGAGAACAAAATTCCATCAAAATTTACTCTTTACTTTAGGGGAGAGAAAAAAAATGTGACAGGATAACTCAGAAACTCATTAAGTTCTTTCATTGTCGAAGGGTCCTTTGAATTTTCTGTGTTATTCTGTCAAATTTACGGAAGTGAATGCAAAGGTTACCTTTCTTAAGGATTGTGTTAACATGCACAGATATCTTAAAATACTACTGGGAAATTCTTTGAAGAAACCATATTTATTCAAACTAAAAATCTGTTAAACGTCATGCACAAAATGTTATCGATTCGATTCGTCCGCGTGTATCGTTATTGGAATTTAACATTTCACAAAGATCTCATGTGTTATATGAATTATCACCTAACGAACACAAACTTTTCACCGAATATGTTACCATAGTTATTGACAAACTCATGAAAAACTTAATATTGTACTTCGCTAAAAGTTAAAAAACCACAGGAACACAGCATAAGTTTACTAAGAAAAAAAGTATCCTATATTGTCCTTTGGATACAGTATTTTTAACATTCTCACAGAGAGAGTGTCTTCTAAACTCTTCCTTCATAAAAGCACATTTTCTGTGAAATGATTTAGTTTTGTTATACCTTATTAGGTATTTAAACAGTCACTTATTATTAAGCTTTCTGGTATGACTATAATTTATAGACGACCATCGAGCAACGCTAGACTAGCCGTGAGAGTGTCCACCTAATAACTAGGATCAAATGAGGGTCATAAACTAGTGTGAGGGAATAGAATTATGATTTACAGTTGATGGTTAAGGTAAGGAATTAGATTTAGAATTTTCATCATGAAATGACATCAACAATAATGCCAAGGCTCTATTTATCCAAATGGTGAGTGAATTTCGCGCCAAAATCCAGTGACCTATTATCTTATATCTAATTGGTTCCTCTATAAATTATAGTCTCTCCATTTTTGTACAAAAAGCCACATTTATAAATAAAGGTAAGCTGTTATTGGAGTTGAATAGCATGTGATGATGGTATGGTCAACGGATTATCAATCATTATTCTTGAGTTACATTTTGACTTTATTAATTATTCACTTATGAACCATGACTATTTTTCTATGATCGTATGTGTGTGTAACTCCGCCCCTTTGGGGCTACTGCCGGTCCCAAGCCCTGATAAAGGAGCAGGGTTGGGCTTAGTACTTCTTATGCTATTCAACTTATTTTTATTCGGCTATAAATATTGATTAACGCTTGATTGAAGGGAGTTGGCTCACACGCCTTCTCCACCGCGCGTCATTTCTATTCGCTTCCTGCACTCCGTCTCACTGATCGTATGTTCTGATTAATGAGTGTGCAAAATATACGTATTCAAAACATCTATTCTCGCACTTGACTTATTGAATTTCGTTATACACGAACGCGAGGGTAGCAAGGATATGTACATTTCGATAACTTGATAACAAACATCATACAGTCCAAATGGTGTCTGATTTTCAGCCACCAAACTCACAGAACTGAGCATATACAACTGATAACTTTATGCTGAATCGTTTATTTTATCTTCGGATATCATTTCAAGTTAAACAGTAATAATAAATGAACAGTCATTCATCACTCAAACACAAAGAACATGTGCAAATCTTTTGCAATTATAAGGACAAGGAGAACGTGATCATAATAGTAGTGATAATATTAATATGTAGATCTTATTGGTGAAGAATTGATCTCAATTAGAGTGTTATCGAAAATCATAAAACACTGAATAACTGTTTCATCTTAGTATGGAAATTTTCATTTGTTTGATCGACGCCGAAACCTAAAGATTTTAGGTTTGATTTCCGGCGGCCCAATGGATGTTGAACTGTCCCATACTTGAACAAAACAGCCTTCACGTGTTCCCTGGTTTAATAATGATCCCCAGGTAAAAATAAATATGTGATAAAAATCTCTTAAAATTTTAAAGAATCCTTACAAAAAGAATTCGCTAAATAGTAATCATAATAATAAATTAACTTGGTATTGTTTACTTGAATCTTCCTATTGATGATTAGAACTGCAATTGATCAGTCTCTTCTCGGCATATGTGCATTCTGAGGATATTGCCTCGGTAAAGCCTTAATTCACAAGGATTATATGCAAAGATGAATGGTGGCTAGCAGTAGATTCCAGTTTGATGAGCATTTCGTTCTATTTTAGACTCGTCAGCTGGATGTACCTGCATCTCAGAGTTGATGTTCACTCTGGTACTCGAGCCCAGGTACGTCAAGCTGATGAGTCCCAGATAGGACGAAACGCGAGTCATCGATTCCACTACTAGCCATTATTCATCTTTGCTTATCAATAATAATAGCCTAAGATAATATTAAAATTTTCTAAATCTTTCAAGTTATGTAAGAATAAACTATTAGAATTGGTCGTAAGTTTATTTTGTAATTATCAACTATTCTTATCCTACATCATTTCTATAAAACTCCTGAGTATATTGATTTTGGCCTATATTCAAAATGTCATTTCTAATAAAAGGAATCCTTAAAACTGTTTGTAAAGAATTTGATTTCAGATATCCCCTTTGATATTCACCTTTGTCATTTTAGAATTATTACTTCTGTTTTCTGGGAGATTGATATTGAAAGGTGTTCTGTAGATATTATAGTAATTTTAATAGTTGAGATCATGAATCGATTGAAGCTAGACCATCATGGAAAACCTGGAATCACTGGGCGACCACTTCGTCCTGTCGTGGGACTCTTCACTCGCGCGCATCCACGATCCCTCCTTGCGATATTCGAGCCCAAGACTTATCAGTCTCGCAACTGAGCCCTTAACTATTAGACTACTGATTAGACCATTGATTAAAATCGCATGATCAAAAAGTTTATTGTGATTGTTTTTTCCCCATTTTTTTCAATAAATCGTTAAGTTGATGATGTTTTTCTTAATTTTCTTCACTGGTCAACTTGGTCAAAAGTATACAATACAATCAACACCTGAACTAAGGATAGGGAGTGAAGCAATCGAACGCATCGGCGACTTCACTGATATTGGAAGTTTGATCAGCTCTAATGGGCTAGTGTCTGACAAAATCTCAGCACCAATTCAGATAGCGCGTTTGGCTTCTACCAACATACGTTACCAACTATGGCGAAGGCGACATATCAGCCTATCAACTAACGGACGAGTATACTGAGCAGTGGTTCGTTCTGTCCTAATTTACGCCTGCGAAACATGGCTATTAAGAGTAGAAGATATTCTTAAGTTACTAATATTTGATCACAGATATCTTGGAAATATTGCTCGTATCTGCTGGGATCAACGAGTAAGTTATAGGGAGGTTAGATACAGGGTATCGGGGAATGATGATGGTAAATCAGTTGATGAGATTGTGAATCTTCATTGACTGAGATGGTTGGGTCACGTGATACATATGTCTGAACATGGATTACCACGACGTGCAATGCTGACTAGTGCTGGAGATGGTTGGAAGAACATTAGAGGCGGCCAAACCAAAACGTGACATCAGTCATTGAAGTCCCTAATTTCTAGTCTTAGTCATGTTAGTAGATGCAGACTATTTGGTTATGGTCGGCGTGACTACTGTAACCAATTGTTGAAGACTGTTGGTGATATGGCTCAGAATCGATCACAATGGTGTAGGTGTATACACTCTATGTCTTCTCTTAAACTGTGAAATTAAAATCGCTTTATATGTTTATTCCATGAAATATTTCTTTCTTCTTGTACTATATCCTTATGTGCAATCTCTCGTTTACATATTGCCACCAGTGAATTAACTACTTCTATGAACCCGGTTTTCATCTTGTTGTGCTAATGAGGTATTAGAACTTGTACCGATGCACATATGTACTTGGTCCTACGATGTAGCCGACTGACTGAATAGGTATTTATTAAAGTTTGTTTGTCAACTGATCCACCTCCATATAACATCAATTAAGTGATTTTTAAGAGTGATATATAATTAATATGAAATGTTTACCCTTTCTTCAAGTTCTTTATAACGTTGTTGAAGAATTACATTTTCTTGTTCCAAACATTTTACACGTTCAAAACATTCTTGTTTCACCTATAAAAGAAATGAAAATATAAATGAATTAGAATAGATAGTAAATACAGGTCTTTAGTATCGGTTAAGTCCACATGTAAACGTATAACTGTGTGTGTGTGTGTGAATGTGCACTCCTTTTATCCTATTTATCACACGTCTGTAGCTTATTTTTGTGTGATTATAAATATTGTCAGAATGGGTTTTGTGGAGAGTTTTTTAGAAATTTCACAGGTTGAAATCATGAGTCAGTTGAAGCTAGACCAACATTGAAAATCTGGAAGCACTGGACGGCCGTTTCGTCCCAGTATGGGACTCCTCAGCAGTGCGCATCCACGATCCCGCACCACGCGGGGCTCGAACCCAGAACCTGCTGGCTTCGCGCGCGATCACTTAACCATTAGACCACTGAGCCGGCATCCAACGGTGTTAATGTCTAACTTCAACCAATCCACGAAGTTGTGCCACCGTACACCATTGTCTTCAGTGAGTAGTTATCTCACAACAGACCGGTTGAACTCCACTGGTAACGGCTTCTCACTAGAACTCCAGGAGTTTTTCCTGAAGTCAGTCACTAGTGAGTAGTTGATTATTATCAGAATGGGTTTTGTGGAGAGTTTTTTAGAAATTTCACAGGTTGAAATCATGAGTCAGTTGAAGCTAGACGCTTGATTAAATCGAGTCGGCTTGCATATCTTCTTCACTGTGCATCATTTAACTTAACTCTCTTCTCTGAGCTTCGTCCCTCTTATTATCTGCTCAGATCAATGAGTGCACAAAATATACATAATTGAAACATTCATTCACGTATTTGACTTATTTAATTCTGTTATTCACTAACGCGATCTAAGTCGATAATTAAATACGAGAATAAGCAGGATGTCCATTTTGACAATAAACATTCATAAGATATAACTGCAGTTAGATCCCAGATCACAAAATGTGTACGAGATTATAAACATATGAATTTTATATAGATTATAATACAGAAGTTCCACATTACATATATTACCGTTATAGGATTATAGATTGTAAATGAAACAATATAGATTGTAACTGACATTGACTCGAATAAAGGATTATTGTACACTCACTGAAATTACACTTAAGAAGATGATTAATGTCCAATATCTACGACAACTTGATTGTTACATGTCTAAAATGTTTTATATTGTTTTCTAGTCAGTTTAATATGCATGAACTTGAAATAAACTTTGACTAGTCTATCAGTCAGTCAGTCAGTCAGTCCCAACGTAGAACTTCATACGTACGTACATCAGTTTGAGTTGCCACACCACATTAGCACAGAGATGCAGTGGTCGATTCAAATCCCGTAGTGTTAGATGTAGTAAGATTATAAGCTGTAATCAGAAAAATTAGGGTTTGAAGATGTTATTCAAGGACTATAATCCAGTGAAATAAATTTGGGAAGAGAAAAAAGAGACATGGAGCAATAAGGAGATCAAAATTTGCGAGAACACAAAGAGTGTATGCACCTGCGCCATTGCAAACGATTTTGAGCCATGTCATTCAGGGTCTCTAATCATCGGTTGCTATCATCTCGCGGTCGCCAACCAGGTAGTCTACACCTACCAACATGACTCGATCCACTTGTCAGTGACTTCATGGACTTGTGCCATGTTCTGGTCTGGCCGCCCCTAGCTTTCTTCCAGCCTACTCTTATACCACTGAACATCGCACGTCGAGGCAGTCGGTCGTTGGGCATACGTAACACGTGTCCCAACCATCTCAACTGATGAAGTTTCATTTCTTCATCAATGGATTCGCCATTCTTGTCTAGTACCCGTTTCCTAACAACTGTGTTACTTACTCGATGGTCCCAGGATATACGAGCAATGTTTCGAAGACACCTATGATCGAATACTAGTAACCTATGAATATCCTCTACTCTTACCGGCCATGTTTCACTGCCATAAAGTAGGACGGAAGGAACTGACTAGTCTATAAGGATTGAGGAAGTGGATGAGCTTGGTTACCAGCTAAGAGGAGATCTAGTAACAAAGTTATTGAATTATGTTATTTTTTTGTCATGTAGAATAAGTAAGATAAGCAACAAAATAGTTACATTTAACCATGTAGCTAGTTGGATTCAGTAAACATGAAATATGAAAACGGTCATCACATCATCTGCAAGGCTATTAATAGCAGTTGAATTTTAAAAAGAATACAATATACCGAATTTAGAGCTCTTCAACAGTGAGCTGTAAACGTGTTAACATTTTTGGTAACTAGATAACGTACGAATTTGGAAATGATCTTACTAATAGCTATTATGCAGTTTCATGGAAGTGCTGGGTGTTTTTAATAGGTAACCTGGGTTTCTAACTAAGCTATCCCAATTATGTTATCATTGACGACCATCATCAAGAAGGTATAAGTATTTATAAATAGTTGTCTACACAAGATACTCAACATCGGTTGACCGGATACAATCAGCAACAGCCTACTGTGCGAGAGAACAAACTAGCTTCCAGATGAAGGGGAAAGTACGGGAAGACTTTAGAAATGGTTAGGACATACATTACGCAACTCGTCAAACTGTATCACGAGGCAAGCCCTCACTTGGAATCCTGAAGGGAAGTGGAAAAGAGGGAGGTCAAAGGACCCATTACGTTGGGAAATACAAGCAGATATGAAAAGGATGAATTACAATTGGAAGGAGCTAGAAAGGATTGCCCATGACAGGGTTGGATGGAGAATGCTTGTTGGTGGCCTATGCTTCTCCACGAGGAGTAACATGCGTAAGTAAGTAAGTAGGTAAGTATCCCAATCATACTTACTAACTTACTTACTTACTTACGCCTGTTACTCCTAATAAAGCATAGGCAGCAGACCAGCATTCTCCGACACAATCTGTCCTACTCTTCCTTCTTTTCTAGTTCCATCCAATTCTTGTTCATTTTTCTCATGTCTATTCCCATTTCCCGGCGTAATGTGTTCTTTGGTCTTCCTCTTTTCTTTTGGCCTTGAGGATTCCATCCCAATCATACTATTTGAAATACTTTCTTTTATATTTGGGATGTTTTTTCCTGCAGAAGACTCAAAACGATGCTAAACGGTTTCACAACTATTGATACGGATTACAATGAAACATGTTTAATAAGTGATATAAACAAAGATAATTAAATCGTTAACTGCATTGAATCATTTCACTTACTTGTTTAATAACTTCACCAAGTATATTCCATGGTTGATTACAGTCTGAGTAATTTCGTTGAATCTTTTCATAAAATAATCTGTAAAATAATAAGTAAGCAAACATAATATGTATTAGACTTAGAACATAATTTTATGGTTGAATTCATGAGTCAATTAAAGATTGGACACCATGGAAAACCTGGAAGCACTGAACGACCGGCTTAGTCGTTTAGAGGTTAAGCGTTCGTACGCAAAACTTAAGGTTTTGAGTACGAGTTCCATGACTTCGCAAGGCGGGGTACTGGATGCGCACTGTCGAGGAGTCCCACAATAGGACGAAACGGCCGTTCAGTATTTTCAGCTTTTTCATGGTGGCCTAGCTTCAATTGACTCATGATGTCAACTATTGAAAAGAAATTGTATGATTATTTTAGAACTGGTAATGTTATCGATTGGTATTAAACAAGTGAATTATTAAAAAATAGATGAATACTGACAAAATTTAAAAGTTAATTTGAAGTTCTACAAACTTCTCAATCTAATATGGTGTATGCTACTGATATCAACAGATATAAATAGTATGTATCATCAATCGAAAGTGAAATACCTGGCAGTAGAAGGTTAAGAAAATCGAAGAAAAGAGACTGAGTACAGAGAATAATTGCTGTGGAAATGAATGAACAAAAAAGTTTGACACAATTAAATGGTGGTTGAACGTAGTCGACAGGAAACCCTAGACCCGGGTTTCGTGCTACTTGGCACTCGTCAGCAAGGTGTATCTGTAATCATGAGGGAACTGGTGCTCCCTGGCGGATTTGATCCCATGTTACCCAGCTTCACAATCAGAGACGTTACTACTGAGTTATCCGGGCCGCGACAAACCTCCTGTAAGACTTGACACGCATGATATTGATCACCACCAAGTGATCAATCAATTGTGAAGTTTGACACAATTGATTGACACTTTACAAATGAAGTAATTACTGTATGATGATGAATTTCAATACTTGAAAAATTCATGTGTCCCAAACTGATTCTCTATCCTAATTTTATTCTCGTTATATTTACTACTTATTGTTTATTTAACTTTTGTGGATTTTGGGAAAAATCTTTATTATTATTATTATTATTATTATTATTATTATTATTATTCTAGAACCGACTTATCTAACGACAGATACATGTTTATAAACTTGTATATACCTGTGTGTGTGTGTGAATTGGTGTGGGTGTGGGTGTGTGAGAATCTTTTATACGTAAATGTAGATACATGATATAAACTAACCATCATAACCGTTATCAGATCTAACATCATAAATAAAATCACATTTATATAGGTGATAAACATTTCCTTAATATACATGTAAACGACTTTTTTTATTTCAGGCTAACCAAAGTACACGATCGTAGCAACAACAGCAACACCACCACCACCAAAAACTGATCGTAAAATAATATTAAGGCAGTAATGATGATAAAGATAAGTTTACGTATTCCTTTTCTATACAAAGTTCACTTAAGCAATGAAAAACACAAACTCTTAGGTAATAAAACTTTTTTATTAGTAGTGTGAAATTTAGTAGTTTGCACTGTAGTTGTCTTTTTTTGTGGGGGGGGATGGGAAGGGGAGCAGACAAAAAGATGAAGTATAATAAATTATATTTCCAGTTTATTTCATGTATACAATAGTCAAGCTTAATAGATCTAATTGCTGTCAATGACTCTTATGTTATTTAGTTAGTATAAAGTTTTGTAATCTGAAATTAACAGTACTGAATTTGAGATTTTTATGACACTATGGTTGTTGTGACATTAAGTCCAGTTAATTATTATGTGATTTATTCACCAACTGAAATATGACTTATACAATCTTAGTACAGTGTTAAACTAATAATGTTCGACCGATAAGAGTAACCATGTGTCTTTATTGGTTCCTTAGTTCTCGTAGATCGTCCAGTTGAGTCTTGAATACCAATAACAGCTTTCACTATATAAATCATCTAATTCAAATATAATTGGTTTATACACCAGTTAAACAGACCACATTACATCATAAAATAGGGAATAAAATTTGGGGTCGTGGAGACTAACGTAATCAGTGATTTGAGACTGTGTGTGACATTGCTAGGAATCGATCACAATGGTGTAGGTGTATACAAGAAACTAAACCATTAAATCACTACGATAATATAAAACTCTAGGTGGTCCATTTATGATCTATAATGATCTTCAACATTCTATGACATTGAATTAAATATGGTGTACTGACATGGTGACAAATTAAACCTCCATAGACTCAAAACTCAAAGAACTAGAAATTGGAGAGTACTAATACAGAGTGGTGCATGTCTACATAATAACAGTTTCTATCCTACTAAGTTGACATAGACAGTAAGTAAGTCATATACTTATTGACAGTTCTCATTAACTCTATTCCAAAAAGCGAGGTATAGGGAAAAAAACTTAGAATAAATAAAATATGCTTATGAGGAAGGGAACACCCATAAAAATGCATCAACAATTATGCTGAAGAAAGTCATAGTTCCACTGGATATTTTAGTTATTAAATGGTTGCTTCAATCAAAATCATTTATTCAACTCCAAAGTCAGTGACAAATACATTGAAATTATAATGAGAAACACATCTGATTTCTTAGAACATTTCAAAGAACTTGATATTCGTATGGTCATAGAGCTTTCATTAGTGCAATAGCACAATATTCAATTGATAGTAGACATATTATCGATGATTACATTTCTACTAAACTGATCATTAGAAATTTAAACAGTTGAGATGATGAGCCCCCATGGAAAAGGTGGAAGTACTGAATGGCCGCTTCTTCCTATTGTGGAACTCCTCAGAAGTGCGCATCCACGACACCGCCTCGCGTTATTAGTACCCAGGACCTATCAGTCTCGCAACAAGCGCTTAAACAACTAGACCACTGAGTCGGCATCCAACTGCGCACTGATAGTAGAAGTACTATCGATTATTACATTTCTACTAAACTGATCATTAGAAATAAAAGCGCGAGGTAGCTGCCATAGCAGCTCATTTTTCAGTTCAAAAAAGAAACATTTATCAATGATTTAAAGTGACATCGTTTATTTTTATGCTTAAACATCTCTTCACCAATTACATTCGCCTTAATAAATTATCGTATTATCCATCTTAAAGATACCCTTTCGCATTTATCATACTCGTTCCATTCAATTCATAGACCTTATGTAAAAAATTTTTTTAAAATCTACAATATATTTCAGTTTCCTTGTTTCTTTGATTAAACTACAAATGAATGTAAGCGGCCTGATTGAACATCTGTGTGTGACCTGTTCCTACTACCATGTAATTTCAACAAATCATCTGATCTTTTGTTTGTTTTAATACATCAATATAGCTATTAATTGTATAACCTATTCAGGTGCGTTTCTGAAAATTGTAAAACCTTTTGTTGTACAAATTAGAAAAAAGAAGGTCCAATAAGAGATAACGTAGTTGCTAGCAATATGTAAGGGAAAGAATGTACGTTGTTTAAATGTTGATTGACCGGACTGTTAACTTCTAACTGGCGATCACACATTATGTTATCGTTGGTATCGACCAAGAAGTAAGAAACGGAAATGTGTTGAAATACACTGTGCTAAGAATTCGATATGGTTACATCAAATGATTAGTATGAAATGATGAACACTTTAAGCAAGTAGGACAAAGAAAAATGGAACCTAACAAAGAGGGCTTTTATGTATCAAATAAAAACTCTTGATTAATTACAGGAAAAAGTGAACCTTCATTTGTATCTAGAGCATAATAGAAATTTATTTGTATCAGAGTAAATATTTTAGTGCACTTGTAATAATCAAGACAATTTGAATCTATAATTGATTAATCACTGTGTGTTGATCAATGTCACGTATATCAGGTCGTTCTTAGTACAAATCGAATCCTATTGACCAATTTGCAATGTGGCCACTAGTCTAGGTAACTTGACATTGCATGTACTATGTTGAGATAAGATGGTGGTTGGAGGTAGTTAACAGGATACCTTGAACCAAGATTTCATGCTATATGACACAAGTTATTGAAGAAGGTACAGCATGATATAGTCTTCTTTTAGTGACAAGTTCTAATAGAGAAGTTGATTTCATTCAATTACCTATTATGTACCAGATGTCAGTATAAAACAACAAAACATGAATATATAAACAGTCAACCAGTCATAACGAATATAGTGCTTAACAAATATGTGTTACAGATTGAAATCATGAGTCAATTGAAGCTAGACCATCATGGAAAACCTGGATTTTTCCATGGTTTTCCATGGTGGTCTAGCTTCTATTAAATTTCTAAAATCTCCACAAACCCCTTCTGAAATTATGTGTTAGTTTAAGTTGTTACATCAGATCTGTATGACAAGATGAAATGAATACCATGAATAACTAAAGTATTAATGTAATTATAACATCAATGATAGTAGGGAACAGTACACATCGAAGAATGTAACGTAATAAATAGAGGAATACTGAAATTCAAAGATCTGAAGTAAGATAAAGAATAAATGAATCCGTCACAAATTTGACTGATTCTGATTCATGTTACTCCTACATACATATCAATATATAATCCATAAACCGAATTAGTTATCTTTAAATTATAGTAGAATAACCAAAACATAGAAATTCAAACCACAGGGTATTTATTCGATGAGTTTCTAAGTGAAGAAAATGATAATTGCCTGTTTGTTCATGAATTTCATACTCTTATAGCAGTGATTACAGTTAAGATAGAGCAGAAGATTTGTAATTCAGGTGGATGATTATTTTATTGTTTATTTATTTGAACATATAAATATTGGTACAAGAGGGAACCAGATACATATGCGCCACACAAACTTCTTTTGATTTGTATGAGGGTTATGATACTGCGTAGGTGCCCAGACAGAAACAGGTGGTTTTATTAGAGGGCCACACCCGGAGCTTTTGACCGAAAGGTCTGATCCACAAAGCAGTGGATCATCGTAAGGAGATGCAGTTTCATGGTAGCCAGTGACCGACGATTGGTTCATACATCATTTGTTCCCTCAGGATCCTGGAGCCCATA